AGGGGGCATTTCCCCGAGCGATGGGAGAAGCGAGCAGCAGGGAAAGGCGCCCTGGGGAGAAGGGCAGGCACAAGGGCCCCGGCTCTCTGCAGTGCAGGCGACCGATCGCCAAGTGCTGCTCCCAGAGCCACAGGCAGGGCCGTGTCTCCTCCCCGCCCTGACACTGCACCTGCAGTGCTGCGTCCGGCTCTTCCCAGCACGGACAGCAAGGACGTGGACGCGCTGCAGCCGGTGCTGAGGAGGGAAAGGGAGATGTGCAAGGGCTGGAGCACCTCTCCTGCAAGGAAAGGCTGATACAACTGACACAGCTCAGCTTCTTCAGCCTGGAAAAGAGACTTAGGCTTGTTCGAACTGTGGCCTTCCAGTACCTGAGGGCAACCTACTAGAAAGGCTGGGCAGGGACTTTGTACAAAGGCAGGCAAGGACAGGACGAGAGAAGATGGATCCAAATGGAAAGAGAGTCAGTTTAGATGAGGAATTCAGAAAAAGACTCTCCTGGAACAGGTTGCCCAGAGAAGGTGTAGATGCCCCATCCCTGACAGTGTTCAAGGCCAGGCTGGATGGAACTCCAGACAAGCCAGTCTAGTGCAAGGGGTCCCCAGCCACAGCAGTGGGGTTGCAACCATGTGATTTTTCAGGTCCCTTCCAAGCCAAACCATGCCACGACTTCATGATTCTGGGATACTTCCCCTCTTCATCCTCTGACAGAAAAAGAAACTTGGCACCAAGTTCCATATTGCAGACTGTTATGAACAAAACAGCCTGGCTGGGACACTTGGCTTGGGTAAGTACTGACATTGAAATGTTAATTAGCTAATTGTTCCTGGGAATCACCTACCTCCCCCCACCCTCACTACCATTCTAGGACTGGGATGCAAAATAATCCAGTGGAATCATGGGAGGGGGTTTTGGGGATGAAAAACACCCCTAAATGGAAAAGATGGGCACAGTGGAGGGGGCTGGATGGGTGTGCTCGTTGGGGAAAAGGGAACCCCATCCCTAGTCTGTGTTTGACCTGTCACCATAACCTCCAGAGGACCAGACTGGACTGGGCTGTGGGAAGCAGGAGCAAAGGACACACACACTTCCTGGTGTTACCAGGAGGGAAGGAGAGAGAACGGTCTGCTTGGACTTCAGATACAGACTGAAGTATCTTCAGTCCAGCTACCAGTGTGCTACGAAAACTCCAGGGACAGACTCTGCACGCCTGCTCACCCTTCGGCTACTGGAGAAGCTACAACAGTGGGGGCGAGCTCCTTGTCGAGCCCCCTGCCGAGCTGACTTTTTAATAAAGAGCTGACTATTAATAAAGGCATAGACCCTGTTCATTTTACACACCATGTCTTTTGGCAGCCTGCACCCGTCTCACCAGAGGATGAAAAGACAAGGCACTACTGACACGATTTCCCTTTTCTACTTGAAAATTAAATGCTCCACTCTCGCAAAACTGTCAGAAGAGGCAATTCTTCCCCATGAAATGCTTTCTCTCACCCAAAGAAGAAAGAAGCCACAAGCCAACACTCTTCTTTATTGCTTCGTTGATTGGTTATTTCTCTGATAGGAATTACTTTGGGTTTTTATCTGTTTCTTTCTTTCATTCATTCACGGGGTGCGCAGCAGCTCCTCCGTTGGGTTTGCAGAGGCAATGGAGGAACGGCCGCCAGCTCCGGCAGCTCAGCAGCAGCAGCAGCAGCAGCAGCAGCAGCAGCAGCAGCAGCAGCAGCAGCAGCAGCAGCAGCAGCAGCAGCAGCACTTCTTTCGATCGGTCTTTCGCTCAACTTTCTGCTCGCTCTCTGTCCCCTTCTCCGTCTACCATTCCTTCTACTCCCGTCCCATCTCGTCCCGTCCGTGTTCCGCCTTTCCCAGCCCGGCTCACGCCGCGTCCCGCAAGGCACCCGTGCGTGGGTCGGCCCCTGCCCGGCCATGCCCGGCGCGCCGCGGTCTCGCCTCCGCCAGGCTCTCTCCGGACTGGCTGCGGCGCCTCCACAGGAGCCTCTGGAAGAGTTCCTCACTCTGTTTGTGGCGGGGCAGCACCGTCCTGGGGCTCTGCCTGGCGCGGCCTCTGGCCCGGCCCCAGCCCCGTCCCCGGGAGCTGCCCCAGCAGCTTCCCCGCTCCGAGCTCCGCCGCTCGTCAGCTCGGCCGCCGGGCCCGAGCCGCCGCAGCCCGGGCCGGCTCGGCAAGCAGCAGCGCCTGGGGCGTTCAGGTGCCCCGGGCAGAAGGGCGAGAGCGCGGTGCCGCCCGCAGGGGCAGAGAAGCCTCCCCTGGAGCGGCTCTGCCGGGAGGGCCCTGCTGGGCAGCGGCGGCTGCGGCAGCGTTTGCTGCGGGCCCGGGCTCGCCGCCGGCGCCCCGGGAAGAGACGGAGGGCGGCGGGAGCCGGTGGGCGGCGGGCGGTGAGCTCAGCCCGGCGCTGGCCTTGGCTTGCAGGTGGCCATCAGGCGAGTGTGCCGGGAGCGCATCTCGGAGCGGGCACGGCTGCTGAGTGAGCGGGGCCAGCGGGAGAAGCCGCGGGGCGAGCCGGGCGGGGCTGAGGCCAGGCCCGGCAGGGCGGCAGCCGGAGCTGCGAGGGGAGCGAGCGGGGAGTGAGCGGGGCCGCGCAGCGTCCCGGGCCGGGCAATGGCAGCGGCGCTGGGGCCGGGCAGGGCTGCCCGAGGCGCGGCGCAGCATCGGCCCCGCTGAGGGCATCGCGGGCCCCCCGCAGCACAACGGCGCCCTTGTGCCCCTGGAGCCGGCGCTTTTGGCTCTACAGCATCTTTGGGTCCATTGTCCCCCAAACATGTCAATGGTGGCCCCATTGTAATACCAAGTAGCAAAGAGCAGCACAGATGACACAAAGAAAATATGGCAAAAGAATAAGAGGAGATGCCCAGCGAGGAAAGGATGTGGTGAGACACTGGAACATCAAGTGAGCTGCACTCCCATAACCCCTTGGCTAGAAGGTCCTGGTCTCACATTCTCCATTTGTTTATTTATCTTTAATTTATTTGCATTTTTTAAATCATCAAAATAAAATATATCCAATTAAAAAGATGTTGTTATAAATTTGCGCCACAACGGAACATAATCCAATTAAGAATTTTATTAATTACAGCAAGCAGAGTATGAGCAAAAGCAGCAGCTGGACAACAGACAGAGAGCCTCAAAAACCGAAGCTCCAGGGACTTCTGTCCTGATCCGTTCAAACAGTCTCCTTTTATTCCAATTTCTTCTTTTGTCTCCCTGGAATTTGCAAGCTAATTCCTGCAGTTATCTTGTGTTTGTATAAGCAGTCTCTGGTGTAAATGGTTGTTGTGATCTTATCTTGCATCGGCAGTCTCCGGTGTAAGTGGTTGTTATCTTATCTTGCATCAGCTGTGTCCATTGGTTGTTTGCATACCTCCGTTGCCTAACCTTATCTTAATAAACAATACCCCGGTCTGTATTTTCTCACAGTTACCTAACCTTTACATATATCCTAATAAACAATACCTCAGTCTGTAGTTTCTTACAATGTCATCAAAATCTAAAGATACAGTCAAAACACATTATTCAAAAGTATGAGAACATATGTACATCTCTAACTATACTAAAAGAAATCTATAAATATCTATAAAAATCTATAAAATTTATAAAATTCTATAAATTTTTATACAATTCTATAGAATTCTAAAAATGCTATAAATCCTATTTTTGAAACATTATTTGGACGGTGGGTAGCTTCTTCCTGAGCTTGGCGGAAAGAGATCTCTTCCGTCGGGAGGCAAGGACTTCATGGGAGAACATATGTACCTCTCTAACTAACTAAAAAACTTCTATAAAATTATATAAAATTCTATGTAGTTCTGAAAATGCTATAAATCCTGTTCTTGACACATTTGTCTGATGTTGGGTGGCTTCTTCCTGAGCTTCGAGGAAAGAGATCTCTTCCGTTGGGAGGCAAGGACTTCATGGGAGAACATATGTACATCTCTAACTATACTAAAAGAAATCTATAAATATCTATAAAAATCTATAAAATTTATAAAATTCTATAAATTTTTATACAATTCTATAGAATTCTAAAAATGCTATAAATCCTATTTTTGAAACATTATTTGGACGGTGGGTAGCTTCTTCCTGAGCTTGGCGGAAAGAGATCTCTTCCGTCGGGAGGCAAGGACTTCATGGGAGAACATATGTACCTCTCTAACTAAACTAAAAAACTTCTATAAAATTCTATAAAATTCTATGTAGTTCTAAAAATGCTATAAATCCTGTTCTTGAAACATTTGTCTGATGTTGGGTGGCTTCTTCCTGAGCTTCGAGGAAAGAGAGCTCTTCCATCGGGAGGCAAGGACTTCATGGGAGAACATATGTACATCTCTAACTATACTAAAAAACTTCTATAAAATTCTATGTAGCTCTAAAAATGCTATAAATCCTGTTCTTAAAACATTTGTCTGATGTTGGGTGGCTTCTTCCTGAGCTTCGAGGAAAGAGAGCTCTTCTGGACTGCAGGCAAGGACTTGCTGGTAAAGGGAACATAGAAGGTGTCCAGAGAAAACTTCTTGGTAACGCTGCAGCCAGTCAGATCTGCAAAGTGGAGAGACCAAGGGTAACTAAGGCTACAGTGCAAACCTAAAGCATCTGGAGCTCCAGATTTCATGGCACACATTTCCTGGAAACTTCTAAAGAGCTGCACAGGGAAGCATGCTCCTGCTGGCAGCCCCTGGAGCAGGCCAGGGGAAAGCCCTGACCCACTGGCACAGGGCTGCCACAGGAACAGCCTGGCCTCTGGGCTGCCCTGGGACAGCAGGAGCCCAGAGCCCTGTGCTTCCCAGGAATGGCTCAGCTGCACATGCACCCTCCTGCTCCTCTCCCTGCCCCACGGCTGAGCAGCCCTACAGCTCCAGGGGCTCTGGCAGAGCACAGCTCATTGCAGGGCACATGCAGGGCACAGCTGTTCCCTGGCAATGTGCACAGGCTCTCTGGGCTGCCACAAGAGCCTTCCTCCCACCAGAGAGCGGCCCAGCTCCCCCCTCACCTTTTTGTGAGGCTAAGCCATGCTCAGCCTTCACATTGTCCTCATCAGTCTGGAGCTGCTTCAGGGCCCCCATGTCACGAGTAGGAAGGGCGATGGAGAGAGCGGGGCAGATGCACACCCTTCCTTAGTGTTTTGTCAGTTTTGGCAGACGGTAAAAAGTCACATCCGGAGTTGTCCGAGTCAGAACTTTGTCATCTTTCTGGAGAACATGAAACCTTCAGCAGCCCAAAATTTTGGAGAGGTTTTCCTGCACGCGTGGAGGCTTGCTGGCTGCACACTTCTTCAGCTTGGTGCCCATCACCTCGTAGAGGGCCAGGGCAAGCTTGGTGGCCACAGTGCGGACGCTGGCGCTTCGGACAGGCAGCGCCTTGTTCTCCAGGAAGGACCAGAGCACGGGCAGGGCGTAGCGCTCCACGACTTCAGGGCTCCTGGCATAAACCCACTCCACAAGCACTGCCGGGAGAGAGGCACAGCTTCTTACCCACCAACCTCCATGCAAACAAGGATCTACCTCTAGTTTTGCTTCTTGGAAGCCTCTCTGGCAAAGATCAGTGAAATACCACACAGAGCCCCATGATCCAGAAACAGGCAAAGCAGCTGGTCACCCTTGAAACAGAACCACCAATCCCTCAGGACTAATTTCTCCAAACAGAGCCTTGTTCCTGTGGCAGACTTTGTACCGTTACTAAATTATTTCACTATTTGTTTCTGCATGAACAATGAATGAAATGTCAAATTGCCTTTTATTGCCATTCAGAAGTTGTCTAAACCCACACTGAAGATTTGGAAATGCACCATAGGGTGGCAGTTGAGTGCTTTCTAATAAAAGGGGGGATTCAGATTTGTAACTTCCATGTAAAGTTCCAGAAGTCTAATCTGGCTCCCCTTTGCTCAGTGGCACACAGCAAAGGGCAGTATTAGAACACACTTCAATGCTCCAGCCCACCAGAGGTGGCTGCTGCTTGACAGCTACATTAGAAACATCGGTGACCAGCTGGTGTCCTTGGCAGAATGCTTTTGTGGCTTCCAACACGGAGCTGTTTCAAACCTCAGCGTGTCTTAGAGAATGACCCAGACCCCATTGCCATGGCATTTGAGCATCTTCATGTTTTAATGGCATTTCCCCTCCCAATGTTAGTGGCATTTTTTCTTACAATGTGCACTGAAATAGGGGCATAGAGAAAGAAAAATGCTACACAGGGGACTGAAATGTAACCAAAAGGAAAGTGTTTTTTCACATTGTCTCTGAAATCTGCTCTCTGCTCATTTTCTGAACTGAACTATATCAAACACAGACAAACATTTTCTAACAACAGGCTCCTTGCATGGCAGATTTGACTGAGAGATTAAAATCTGAAATGCTCTGGAGACCAGTCTTATTTTCTGATCAGGCCTAAAGTTATCTAGTAGCTACTTATTATTCTGTGGTGGAAGAGACTTCATTTTCTCTATGCTGTTAATCCACCAGCAGTGATCAGCACTGAAACAGCTCCTGAAAGTACCCAAACCCAATGCTGCTAAGCAGGAAAGGTGTAATGGTCCACATTTTAAAATAAGAGTTCATTTGAATTTAAGTGCAATTAAAGACATTGGTCACTATGGAACTTGAGCAGAGAAAGAGCTGTCTCTTCCCACTAAACCTCAGAGAGGACATTTTCACTTTCTAAAGGAGTCCTCATTTTTGTTTATTCTTTTATCTGAAAAAGAGACCAAAAGAACTGCAAAACTATATTCCCTATTCCTGGAGATCTACTTTATTCAAATGCTCCTTGGTGGTGGTTTTAAAGAGCCTTTGACATTCCCAGTCGCTGAACATGCCCTGTTCAGATTCATAAGGAAGACACAAAGACTATGAAACCTTGTATTGAAAGATGCTGGCATAATTAGCAGTGCCATTAGCCCCAGTTAAAGCCAGGCTATCAGTTGTCTTCTCTGCTATATATTGAGATTGTCATTTTTCCATTCCTTGGCTACTGCTGACACAGCAAGCTCCTCTGAGGAATCAATTATCAGCTGCATTTGTAGCTGATTTTGGACAGCGCTGACACAGGAAGAGGCTATTTGCACCGCCTGAAATGCTCAGTCCAGTGCCACTTCCACAGCACAGGCAGGCAGCCTCAGCACTCTGCTTCTGCCCCTCTGCCCCTGGAGGCTGCCTTGCACTAAATCCATGCAAGGATATGTGTGATAGACTCTAATAGAGTATATGATAGAGTGAGATACACCCGGTGTGGTGAGTTTTGACCTAAGCTGTGACCCCCAGGCTCCGCATGGTTCAGCCTCAAAACTTGCCAGGAGCAAAACAAGAATTCTGTGAGAACAAAACAAACTGATCCCCTGAAACAGCATTTGCCACCATTTTTCCTAAAGGGTCACAGATGTCCCTGAGCCTCCAAGAGAGGAGCCAGCTGGGCTGTTTTTAGCCCCTTCCTATCCTGGAGGTGGTTCTGAGGTGCCCCAGTGAGAGCTCAGCCCCGAGGCCGAGCGCCGCCCCCATCTCAGATGCTGCACAGCTCTGCAGCAGCCAGGGAAAACCTGCCAGAGACACCTGCCCTGGGCATTGGGCAGGAGGGACAAGCTCAGCACCTCCTGATGTGGAGGAGCTACTCTACTGTCTATTGCCAGGCATTCCCTGTAAATAATCCCTTGGAGGACCTCTTGGCTTCCAAGGGAAGGCCATACCTGTGATACACTCCGTGACAACCAGCAGAGCTTCGCCACTCAGTTGTCTCCGTTGGTTGCTGAGCTCTTTCATCAGTGATACTTTATCTACAAGTGAAACACACATTGCTGCTCACTCTTCCGAGGTCATAGCAGAAAGGACAGTGGGGAGGGAAAGGGCAGGGGCCACCCCATTTTATAAAAGAAAGTCATATTCTGCTGACTTTTGAATCCTTTTCTTCTTTCCTTCCAGCCTACTTGGCAGGGTTAAAAGTTCCAAAAGAAAAGCTCTCCTTTCACATTTGAAAATCCAAAGTTGTCTGCTGTAGCAGGAGCTAAGTTAACACATTTCACATCAGGGATCTCAAGAGTTCAGTTGCATGTAAGCAGTGAAAAGGTTTTGCATCCCACAGCAAAAAGGAAGAACTCCATCCTTGGGACACAGAAAGGCACTGAGTCAGGCAGTTCATGAATTCACAGAGCAGCTGAGGTGGAGAAAGTGGAAACAGCCCCTGAAGACCTGCCTCCTCAGCACTCAATTTTTCAGGCATTTTCAGAGCTGACATAAATCTGTGTGGCAAAGGAATTTAGAGCCTCTCTTGCCTAATTAGGTATTTGCTAGAGCCACCTTGCCCCATGCAAAACAACATGTGGAACAAGGCATTATTGCCAGCTGCATTTAGACCAGTTTGTTCTAAGGAAATGAACTTGGTGAATCCTAAGTTGCCCTTTGAAAAAAGAAGACAAAGAAGAAAGGTGGAAAATAGGCAGCTAATGCCCGTAATGTAGAGCCTTCAAGGTGGATGCTCTGCAGAAGCTCTGATGGGCTGGTGTCCCTTCATGCCAACAGCAAAGCTGTT